TAGCCATGCGAGTAACACACAAGACTCCGACCCTCTGGGACCGTAGTGAAGAATGTGTACGATTTCGAGGAGAAGGTCGTCTTGTGTGAAGTGTTGTTCCTGTCACTGCCGTATATACGTAAGCATTATATCTTTATTTATTTATTTATTTATCATTACTTATTACCTATTTAGACCTCTGGCGATTATTGTTATTTTAAATTATAACAGTGGCGCCCAATAGGACTCGAAATATATTAAATTTCTAAAAAATGAATAAGACTATTTTGTATATTAGGCAATGTTTAACCATACAACGAAATCAGTATTCATAGAAATTAGTACAGTAACTGACATTTATTTATTAAAAATAGATAAGTTAATAGAATTTTGCGAAYAAAACAAGTTGAAAATTTTAGGGAATGTATCTGATTTAAGAGCTAGAGTATAGGTAGATTTTTTCGGGGTGAACTAAGAAGAACCGATACAAATGAAAGTTTAGATCAACGAGAAATTGACGAAATTTTAAAACAATCAATATCAAATAGAATTGACTTAGACAAATTGGAAATAGAACTAGGAATAAAAGATTCGGATTTGAATTCGGATGAGTCATCAATAGGTACCATTGGGTCTACTGTTTTAGATAACACAAAACAGGAGGTCGAGCTGGTTAATAGTAAATTAATTAGTGTGCAGGAAAAAGTGGATCTTTGTCTTGATATAAGTGATAATTTTTTAAGCAATAAAAATAACTTTAACGAAAAGGGAGCAAGCTCCAACCACGTAATAGATAAAATTAAAATATCACCAGATAAAAAATTAGTTCAATATTTGAAAGATAACATTTTACACAGTAGTCACGAACTAACAAAAAACAAAAATATGACAATTGACGAGAATAAAAAATAATCTCCAATCTGTAGTCCGACTTTGTTTTCGAGAAAATTTCACGAAAATGTTAACGAATTTTTCAAAAAATTTGATAGAGCTTCGACAATTAATAATTGGACAGAACTTGAAAAGATTACATATTTACCAATGTACTTGGAGAGTAGGGCTCTAGTTTTTTTCGAAAATTTAGAAAGTAAACACAACAAATTAACATGAGAGACTATTGAAGACAAGTTTAGATTAGAATTTGAACCAATTGCTCACAAGGAATTATTAAGGACACTTATCGATAAAAAAAGACAAATAGAAGATGAGAGCGTAACTTCTTGTTTAAATGAAGTGGATTCATTATGTAGACGGCTAGACAAAAATATGACAGAAAAAGAACTTGTACATCATATGCTTAAAGGACTACGTCCTGGAATAGCTAGATATATATCAATCCTAGATAAMAATTCTGTTGACGAAATAAAAAATAATATTAGGAAATATGAAACGGTAGAATTCATGGTATCTGCAGACTCTTATAACAATAATATTCTAATTCGATCAAAAYATCTTTATTGAGAGAACAAATTCAACAAATAACAACAACACACAAACACTGAAGTTGAGGAACTAAAAAATGAATTAAATAAATTAAAAATTGAATTTATACGAGATAGTAAACATTATAATAAAAACTATAATACTAACATAGAAAAAAATATCAACAAAAGGGAGAACATAGTATGTCAAAYATGCGAAAAATCATTTCACACGGCTGATAAATGTTTTCAGAGGGGCGCTTGTCAAATTTGCAAAAAAACTAATCATACAGCATTAAAATGTAGATTTAGATATAACAAAGACGAAGAACAAAAAAACTAACACATAGGTTAAATGTTAAAGCTAGTGCACAACATATACCTTCAACACTAGCAAATCGCATCTGAGAAAGTTTACAGCAATTAATTGCTAACAATGAAAAATCAAATTCACTCTTCATTAACGGTAGAATAAACAATGCCGAATTTCCGATAACGTTAGATTCAGTTGCAAATATAAACTGCATTAGACATGGGGTGATAAAAAACTTAAAAATAATAGAAACTACAAACAACATTCAATTATCCGGGGCCGATCATACTCCACTCAAACTTGTAGGCCAAGCATTCATAATCATCAAAATCGAAGGCGTGTCATTCAGTATCCCAGTCTACGTAATAAAAAATCTTGTTAGTATGGTAATTTTAGGTAATTCATTTTTTTTAGCCATAGGGCAATTATTAACTTTGATAATCAAACTCTTCGTTTAAGAAATGGCTTATGCATCAACATTTACAATAACAACAGATATATTAATGAACATATAACCCGTGCATACGATCATAAGGAAAATATACAAAATATAATAAATATATCAAACATCACAGAAACACTTTTAAAAGATGTTCCAGAACAATTCATTCATACCGTTTGCATCTCCTCTAATATAAAAACAAACATTGAAATCAAACAAAACGTTGTTAAAAACTATAATATATACAATAAATGTATTAATAATAACAATTTTGATGTAGGGGGAGTAGGATTACTCTCAATTAAACCGCGTACGATATATTATATGCTAACAAAAAAAAAAATATGATGACAAAACATCTTACTCGGCAATTTTTCAAACTATTCATAACTTAAAAAAAACTGCGTTAATATATAGTAATTATAAAATTGCAATCCCGGCAATAGGAGTAGATAGCGAAGACTTAGAATGGTCAGCAATAAAAAATCATATAATGAAAACATTTAGAAATTCAAATATCGACCTACTTATCTATCATAATAATGACAACACAATATTGAATGAATGGAAAACRCCTCATCAGACAAAAATAATTAACGAAATCAAAACATTTCATAAACAAATAAATACGAACACAACCGATGTAATTAGGTCAAWTTTTAATAAACACGATAAATCAATCTCAATATTCCAATCATACAAATCGGGGGGAAATGTACTTTTAGATGGTAATTGTGGATTATATTCCATATGCAACGCAATTAATGATAATAAAGATAGTAAAGTAGCAACAATAGCTAGCTTATTAAAGTTATTGGATTTAGAAGCATTACCAAATTATTGGTGGTCTGATGATGAACTAGCAGCAATAGRGAATCACTATAATTTTGATACATATATTTACTCTGAAAAATATAATATTTGTATACGGTACTTGTAAACGCTCACCAATAGTTTTATATAATACTAATAATGGAACT